CCCCCCCCCGCCACAACCTCCAACGATCAAATTCAATAAGAGTAGCTATTCTAAGCATGGAGATTTATTATCACATTGTGCCAGCCTGCCATGTAGGTGTTACAGATGAGGATCCTCGGGAAAAGAAAAGGTTCAGGAAACCTATTTCATTACTAATATTATTGAATACATAGGGACTCTAACTCAAACTTTTGGGTAAAGCATTCAAAGTTCTAATCCTGGATAGATTAATCTACTTAACTAAATATATATATATATATTATATATATAAATAAAATTTATATATATATTTGCAAATGTTAGCAACATCACTGAAAGAAACTAAGCCAAAATTCTTACCCATCCCAATAGGGCAGAAGTGGCCAACCACACAAGGTCCAGGGGTCAATTTCTGCTCTAGACACTGAAAGCTGCAGAATCCAGACTTGAGATTAAGACGAGAGGGGAAAAAAGAGCACTCTTCGTTCCTTAAAATGCCAAGATGTAAGGTCTCAATGCACAGATAGTGATCTCAGAAGAAAGGACTACAGTTGATTGGGAGGACTATTTGGTTACAAGCTGAGCCTGCATGTAATAGAAAAGCTCCACTTGAACACAAATTAAACCAGGCTGTGCTGGTGTCTGCTGTGCAGAGGCTTTGTTACCTGAGGTATGTCTGTATACTCAAATTATAATTATATGTATCAAGGAACTGTGGTTTCCTGGCACATTATTTGGGTTTGCTGGCTGCAGAATTCTTATTATTTTCTGTCTTCTCAGGAAGCAGGATGAAGGCGCAGGTTGGAGCAGCAAGCCCTTAAAAATGATCACAATGACAACACCATGGTGAAATTAACTTTATTTAGTGTGATACACAGCTGCAATCTGACAGTCAATATTCATATATCAAGAGTCACTTACTTGGCTAACAGCTAGGAGACAGCAGAGCCAGAGACACACACTCAAATATTATACACATCCACAGAGAAGGCAGTGGAAACTGAACAGTGTCATTCATTAGGTTTCCCCTGCTGCCTGCCCAACACCCCCCATCCCTCCCCATAAACATGTATTTATTTTTAAATCCCTATTCTCTGGAAAGGCAAGTTTCCAGTGTGTTTTGAGAGAATACCACAACAGCAGTGGCAGGACTGGGCTGCCAGTGCAAAAGGGAGAGTGGCACCAGTTCAACTGCAGAGAGAGAAAGAGAGAAACAGACACCAACAGGACACCAGCAATTCCCACAGAACAGAGGGTATATATACACAGGGTGAGTGCAGGCCTTTGCAGTGACTGATGGGGACAGGCTTATAGCCCTAGCAGTTCTGCTGGAAGGATTATCGAGGAGAAAGAGGAGAGGGAAAAGGTGTTTTATTTCATTTTAAATGTCTAGGGTATCTATGCTCAGACAGACGAACAGAAGAATGCTAAAGAAACTCTAGGCAGCACAGATGTGGCAGATACTCTCAGAAGTAGTTTGGGATAGGGTGGGATGAGAACTGTTTGCTGAGAATTTAATACACTTACCTCTCTGAAGCTTTCAAGATGGAAGAGGATTGTGAACAACAAAAAGCACACATTCATTTAATGCTCTGGAATAATGAACTGGAATGCCAAAGCAATGTAGATCTTTGCCTCCAAGACTAAGGGACTGATCACAGACCCACCAATCTCAAAATCTGATAGGCAAAATGAGGCAAGGGACTGCGTGTACCCCATCAACATGCATACATAATACCAATATCCACAATATCTTTTTTGTCAAAAAGGAGAGGACGGATTGTTGGAACTGGGTGACAAATATGATTACCTAATGCAAACATGACATTGTACATACAGATCTGAACCCCTGTATATGCAAGATTTCCAGACTGCTGAGCATGGAAACCAAACTTAAATGGTATGCTCATCTT